ATTTTTATCACATCTTTATGATATTCATATACATTTAAACTTTTAACGACTTAAACCAAACAAAGAAACAAAAGATGGCACAACAGGACAAACAACACAAAACAGACAAAACAATTTTTGCTGTGGTCATAAAACCGTGGCTTAGGTGAAGAAAATGCTGTTGATGGAAATGAAGCTTCATAGTCTTTCAGTCACCTTTGCTACTAGATTGAATTTTACATTATGGTCTCTGCAAAAGAAAACACACAAACCTGCCAAGGAAAACTACTTGCAGTAAAATATTATCCATATTTACAAATTTACAATGCTGACGTGCAGTAACAATGCACATATTATTACAATTCTTGGGGTGTTTTTCTTGTGTGTGTGTATTAAGGAACAAGGATTATTTACATTTATTTTACTGTTTTCAATGGTTCGTTGCACAATTTTGGCAATTGGAATTGGGATCTTTACAATTTTTCCCCCCAAATGTGAGTTCAAGGGATGCCAATACCCTTGTTACATTTTAACCAAATTGCCATTTAAAAAATTTTTTTTTTTGCCTTTTAGAGGAACAATTTCCCCCTCAGAATTTTTATTTAAAAAGCTTTTTCTGTATCTTCATTGCTGGGACATTATAAAATCTTTAAGGTATTTGAATAAAACAATACTATTGTTCCCATGAATATCAGTTCCAAATTATCCCAGCAGTTTTGTGCTAAGGAAATAACCAAAATATTATATTAGTCAAATTCAGTATTAAAAATCATTTTACCCCTCCTGCTATAGGTGCTGGAACTTCAGAGTATTTTGCTATGCCAGGAGCTACAGCAGTTGTTACTGCATTTAAAGCTCTGAAGTTTATTGTCAGTTTTCAGGTTTTCTTGTTTGCCCTCAAAACAGAACAAAATTGGGGAACTATACATATTAAACATTTATACTATAATTTCCTAACTTAAACTATCTATTACAACTTATAGTAGATATTTTATTTCAGCCTCTAGTGAATATTTACACTGCCTTTATGGAAGGGGAATTTGATTTCTCATTTAAAATACACATCTGTATCCTGCCACATTTAATTCTTTCTGCCTGCGCCTTAAGAAATGCCTTCGTTAACTGTCTTGATTAACTCTATCAATTACAGCAAGAGCCTTAATAGCTGACACTGAGTTTTCAGAAACGTTTTTTTGTCTTAATAAGTTGTTAACACTTTCCTTTCTAAAAGATTCACAGTATTCCTGGAAAGTGATGGGAGGTAAAACCCCCCCCACATTTCTCAACCCCTTTACGAATGGGATTGCAGATACTTTCACTTCCAGCAGTTTCTCTGCCTTGCAATACACAGACAGAGCAAACATACCATACTGCGCACACTCTCTGTTTTGCACCAACACCTTAACAGTCTTTGCAGAGCCACTTACTCATTAGGCTCCTTAGACTCTACTTCTGTTACAAACATTCACACAGTTTCTATCATAGGGGTTAATTTTCTTTGCTACTGACTTCTTATGGGACCAGCAATAGAAAGTATTTTACTTAATCACCTCAGACTTGTCTCGGACGGCCAGAGCCAACTCGAGTTGCATTAGAAATTGGTTGTACGTTAGGGCGGGCTGGTGAATGGAGAGGCAGACACAACTTATTGGTTGCAAAAACCTTTACTCACGCCGCTTGCAATCACGATGCAGGTGGTCCGGTCATCTGAACAACCACGCGAGTTGTTCCAGCTGGCGGGGCCCAAGCCAGTTAATCCGTCCGCAGTTCGAAGCCGGCGGGGGAAGGGGGACGCGTGGGGGTGCGCTCTTGG